TCCAGATGTCATAAAAAGACTGGCGTATAGTATGTATGTAGCCTTTTGTGTCTGCTTTCACTTAACACAATGATTTTGAGATTCCTCTCTGTTGTTAAATGTATTTGTAGTTCCTTTTTGCTGAGTGGTATTCCACTGTGTGGATCTACCACAGTTTGTTTATCCATTCACCTGTTGATGAACTTCTGGATTGTATTCAGGTTTTGGCTGTTATGAATAAAGCTTCTAGAAACATTCACATACAGATTTTTGTGTGAACATATACATTCATTTCTCTTGGGTTAAAACTGTTTTCCAACATGTTTACACCATTTTTTATTCTTACCAGCAGTGCTTTTCACGCTTGGTAGTACTTAGTATTGCCAGGTTTTGTTTGTTTTTGTTGTTTTTTGCCATTTTGGTGGATTTGTAGTGGTATCTCATTGTGGTTTTAATTTGCGTTTTATTGTCTAATGGTGTTGAACATCTTTCCATGTTTTTGTTTGCTAACCATATCTTCTTTGATGAAGTGTTTGTTCACACCTTTTGCCCATTTTAAAAATTGGATTGTTTTCTTATTATTGAGCTTTGAGAATTCTTTATAAATTCTGGACCCAGGTTTTTCATTATATACGTGTACTGCAAATACTTTCTCCGGCCTGTGATTTCTCTATTTTCTTAAAACAGAAGTTTTAATTTTTTCTTTTATGGGGTTCTTTCTGTTTGTTATCTGAGAGTCATTGCCTAACCTAAGCTCACAAAAATTTTCTTTTTTGTTGTCTTCTAGAAGTTCTATAACTTTAGGTGTTACATTTAGGTCTGTGACCATCGTGAATAATTTTAATTTCTTCATATGGTGCAAGGTATGAGTTGAGATTCATGTTTTTTCATATGGATGTTTAGTTAGTTGCTCCAGCATCATTTGTTATAAATATTGTTCTTTCTCTATTGAATTACCTTGGCACCTATGTCAAAAATCAGTAAACACCATTTCTGTGTGGCTATATTTCTGGACACTCTATTATGTTCTGTAGATCGATGGCTGTCATTTTGCCAGTACCACACAGTTTTGATTACTATAACATTAAAGTAAGTCTTGAAACCAGGTGTAAAATTTTTCAACTATATTCTTGTTTTTCAAACTTGTTTTAGCTATTCTGAGTCCTTTGGTTTTCCATATCAATTTTAGAATCAGCTTGTCAGTTCCTACAAAAGAGCTTGTTGGGTTTCTGATTGCTTTGCATTGATTCTATAGATCAGTTTGTGGAGAATTGACATCGTAGTGAACTTATCCAGTTCTTCTCTCATTGTTAGGGTAGGAGTGACTTTTTTTTTCCAGCTTTCTGCATTCTAGGCAGAAGCCTATATGGGAATTTTTAAATGCTGTTTCAGAAAAGAATAATTTACTTCCATTGTTGAGTATTATAATTTACCAGTCAATTTCAATCTGAATTAACCACTTGAAGTCTTTTTTCTTATCTGGAAAATGGGATATTGAATCACAGTCACTGGGCTTCCTTTTGGTGCTATATTAATGTGTTCTTTAGTCAAGATCTAATTTTTCAGTGTGTGATGTGGTATATTTAAGTTTTCAAAAATCTGTTCATCTTTCCCTACTTCTTGAAGATTAAATGTATTTTAATATCCTTTGCTATATTATAATTGTGTGAAAGATGCAAAAGAATAGAAATAATGAAATTAACTCTCCTGTTAATAATGATTGGTCTTTCAAATTAGAAAGCCTTATTTCCTGAACTTTTTGGAAGTTAGAAGTACACATCATCAAGAATGATGTGTATGTTTTAAGAAGTGTAAAAATTAATTTTACAAAGAGAAAATGAAATAAGAAACCTTTTTATTCTGTGAAATTACCTCTTGCCTTTTTTCTTTATTTAGGAAGTGCTTAGAAAAGAGATATATGGAATTGACCTGATAGGTGCTTTTTGTTATACACTTAGAGGACTTAGTATTAGCATTGTCATCTGCCAGGTTTTTTTGATTCCAGTTAAAGGAATGTCGAAAACTTTTAGTCTGTACCTCTGAGCGACCTATAATTTATAAATATCAGTGTTATCAGTCTACAACCTTTTAACATCCAAAAATTTAACTTAATAAATCCAATTTGTATTCACTTGTTAAATGCCTTAACTCTGAATTGTCAAGCTGTGTGCCAAGGCTTCCTAGGGCATCATCGTGAATTCACAGGGTGCTATGAAACACTGTAAACTTTCAAAGGAAACACAGACGTATTCAACATCTATCATATCCCTTGTGGACCACTAGTTCACAGTTTCAACATTAGGTCACACTACATTCCTTTTTTTTATATCTTTGCAAGACTGGTTTTTGGATGTTTGCTGTGGTAATAATGCAGATACTGTACGAAAATCAGTACGGAAGAAGAAATGAGGGTGGCAGTGTCTAATCTAATCCCAAGGTTTGAGAAATTGTACACTGACCAGAGGTGCAGGCATGCCATTAGTAAGTAACTATAGTTACCTCAATGCTATAGACAATGTTTGTGTCCCCCCAAAATTCATGTGTTGAAATTCTAACCCCTAATGTGATGGTATTAGTAGGTGGCATCTTTGGTAGATGATTAGATCCTGAGGGTAGAACTCTCAAGAATGGGTTAAGTGTCTTTATAAGAGAGAGCTCAGAGAGCTCCTGAACCCCTTCTACCATGTGAGGACATAGGAAAGATGCCATTTATGAACCAGGAAGCAAGCTGTTACCAGACACCGAATCCACCAGATTGTTCTTGAACTTCCCAGCCTCTAGAATTATCAGAAACAAATGTTTGTTATTATTAAGCCACCTAGTCTATAATAAATTACCATAGCAGCCCATATGGACTAAGATACCCAGGAGAAGGGAAATGGGAGGGGTATGGTGGTAACTTAGAAGAGAGAGGTTTTTAAGTATAAGGGCAAGATATAGACATCACTGTGCTTTATGCAGACATTCATGTTTTCCAATGGCCAATTTTTTTCTACCAGTTGCAATTACCCACATCCCTCTGTGTTTTAGTATGGTGTATCACATTGATTGATTTGCATACATTGAAGAATCCTTGTATCCCCTGGGATAAACCTCTGTGTTTTAGGACCTGTACTTCCTTTGAGGTGTGAGAGTGTGGTCTTTTGCTCCTGTGGGCTTTTTAGAGGCCTGAAAAGGCTTCTCCCCTTTTCTTTTTAATGTCCTTCAGGAAATTTTGCAGCCTTTACTGGTCTCTGAAATGGAGGTAACAAAGGATTTTACCTTTTTAAAATAAATTTCATCCTCCTACAGGTACCATGCTCCCAGTGGCTAGGCTGGGATGTCTTAACGTTTTCTTTTAGGTGATTTAGAACATTGGTGGTCCCAAAAGCCATTAAGGGAAAACAAGAATTTGGGGTCATTTATAATATATTATAAATTTTACAGAATATAGACCATAATGATTTAATGTAAACTAAGAAAGGACGGGTCTTTCTATCTCTTGGACTTGGAAGAGCTTGCGTCAGTGTATCCTAGAGATGAAAATAAGACAGAGAAAAATGATTTTTGCCTGTTTTTGGTTGATTTTTTAAGAGTTAAGGAGAATTATTAATAATACAGAGCTAGAATGACAGGCAGGCAAATGGATAGGTAGACTGACAGTCTATATTCCATACTTAAAACCACACAAGTCTTCCTAAATTGAAAATTGATGAAGGGTGTAAGTTTGCCACAGAATCTTTTGGCAGAGGAAAGGCTGTAGATAGGATGACATGAAAATAAAGGCATCAAGGGGTCTTTTGTCACAGATTTCACAGTTAGTTTGAAAAGCACTGAGATTTAGAGCAACACGGAACTGGAAAACAACAGAAGTGTCTATAGGGCAAGGACTGAGTATACACAGGGTAAAACCTCTTGATGCCTTTACTGTTTCCGGTTAGGGGTATTATGACTATAAAACATCTATGAAAATTTTTATACATGTCTTCTGATACTCATATACTCATTTCACTAGGATATAAACTTAAAAATAGAATTGCCAAGTCCTTAGGGTAAACATGTTTAGCTTTAGAAGAAACTGTCCGTTTTCCAAGGTGGCTGTACCATTTTACACTTCCACAAACAGTGTATGAGAGTTTCGGTTACCTGTCCTCACAACCCCTGGTGTTGTCTCTGTTTTTAAATTTAGCCTTTTTAATAGTGTGTAGTTGTAAATCATTTTGGCTTTAATTTGCATTGCCCTAGGGGTAATGATGTTTAGCACATTTTCACTTGCTTATTAACCATTTGGCTATTCACTTCTTTGAAATGTCATGTAAGATTCCCCCCCCTTTTTTTTTTTTTTCCGGTACGCGGGCCTCTCACTGTTGTGGCCTCTCCCTTGCGGAGCACAGGCTCCAGATGCACAGGCTTAGCGGCCATGGCTCATGGGCCAAGCCCATGGCACGTGGGATCTTCCCAGATGGGACACGAACCCGTGTCCCCTGCATCGGCAGGCGGACTCTCAACCACTGCGCCACCAGGGAAGCCCCTCCCCATTTTTTTGTATTGAGTTTTATCCTTTTCTTCTTGATTTTGTAGTAGTTAATTATATATGCTGGGTATGAGTCTTTCGTGAGATAGATATACATTAAAGATATCTTCTCCCAATCTGTGGATTCCCCTTTCCCTTCTTAATGGTCTTTTGATGAACAGGTTTTGATTTTAATGAAATCCAACGTGTTATAATATTTTTCTTTTATGAATAGTGCTTTTTGTGTCCTGTTTAAGAAATCTTTGCTTATCCCAAGGTTTTGAAGATCTTCTTCTGTGTTTTCTTCCAGAAGTTTTATAGTTTACTTTTCACTTTTAGGTTTATGATTTGTCTGGAATTACTTTTGTTCATGATGTAGGTAGGTGGTCAATATTAATTTTTTTTTCTGATACAGATATCCAATTGCTTCAGCATCATTTATCGAAAAGACCATCTCTTCCCACATTGTACTGATGCCTTTGTTGTAAGTTAATTGACTGCATACATGTGGATTTAATTCTGGACTCCCTATTCAATTTCAGTGACCTGTTTGTCTATCCATAAGTATTGGCTTATGCCAATACTTCACTGTCTTATTTACTGTAGTTTCATAGATGGTCTTAAAATCTGATCCATTCATTTTTGAGATATTTTAGAAACTGTGATAAGGTACATTTGTTTGATTTGGGGGTACAACCATTTATTATAAAATGAAAAAAAATTTATGTATTAATGGAAAGTGAATTAAACTTAGCATAAGCTAATTGTTTTATAGAGATAATTGACCTGTTTTTTAGGTTATGATAGGAGAGAATTAGCTTTGCAGAACCTTTGCTTTTAAAATGGCTTACACTTTATGTTAACCTAAGGTTAAGGGATGTTAGAAATGTACTGATATCCCAAAGTTATGAAAAGATCGGAAAGATGGTTATTAAATGTGCAAAGTGCTGTATCATTGGGAAAGAGACTTAATAAGCTTTTTAAGCCATAGTTTATAAGCATGGTCTATTCTGCTTTGTTCTAACATTCTCTCTGCAGTAATATTTTCTTGTAGCCTTATCCCTGCATCTTCTAGTGGTCAGTAAACATCTATATTGTTTTTGGAAATTCAGAATTTTAAGCATTTGTATCAATTATCGTTCTAGCAGGAAACAGAAGATATACTCTGCTAGGATTTTAAAGAAAATTTAATGAAGTTCCTGTTTATAAACATATGATGGAAAGGGTCAAAGAAACCAACATGGCACCTGGAGACTAGCAACAGCAGAAAATAGCAACCACCTCTAGGGCTGAAGCAGCAAGAAGAAATGTTGTTACAGATTTCCAGTGAGAACTAGAGACACAGAAGATGGGCTTCCTGACAGGAGCTATGATTGTTAGAGGGTTGCAGCTTAAACCAAGGAAGGAGCCGGGAAATAAATATCCTGACCTCTTTCTTCTGCCATCTGATTTGCCTGCTCGTACCTCCCATTGGACAAGTCCAAGCAGAAAACTATAAATGCAGTCTGCAAGGGTCAGTCTTTCAGGGTACAGCAGCAGGGAGAGAAAGGCCAAACATGTATCTGGATCAGCGGGGATGGTGGCAAACAGAATAACCAGCACAGAATAGTTCGTTTTGACTGAAAATATGAGGGAAAGGTTTTTTTTTTTTGAATGTAGTAATGGTTTTCCATATGGCTTAGGTCTAAAATAGAGAAGTTTTGTTTTGGCCAATCCAGCCAGATTTTTCTTTATAACATAGGGAAAGTACACACAGAACAAAAGTCATTTCTGTTCAAGAAAAATTAGCTTACATGTAGTTCAGAAGAATGTATGAGATCTAGCATAGCTAAATATCTTCTTTGCCATTTATCATTTGAACATTTCTAAAATGTATCTTTCTCATAAATGATTTGAGAATTTTTTGCATTTTTCAATGACCATGAATATATTTAGAAGTAATATAAAATTACATTTTCCCTCTTATAAGCTGTCATTTGTTTAAATGTCACATAACAGAACTATCCTATGTAAGTAACATTTCAGTTGATGGTAATAGAGACTTTAAGCAAAACTTTTTGAAGTGTGCTTGTCATTTCCTTTTTTCCCAGTATGTGGAAATTTTTCAGTATTTCTTTTCACATGGAAAGAGACGAGATAATGTGTCATGTTGTGTCTCAAAAATAGCATTTGAATATTTTAGTTCATCTACATCACACACTTTTCTGTACTACAATTATCTCTGACACAGATAATATTCCGGGAATGTTCAGTTCACATGTAAGCAGAAATATGACAGAAGGCTAAGCTGAAATAGCAACTGAATTAGTTTATCATTTAAATTATATCTTTAAATACCTTTTACCTAGGTTCATGATGGTTCGTAGTGGAAAAAATGGTGACCTTCATCTGAAACAGATTGCATATTATAAACGAATTGGTGAATATCATCCAACTACACTGCCTAGTGAGAGAAGTGGCATAAGAAGAGCAGCAAAAAAATTTGCCTTCAAAGGTAAAATTAATGCCCCCAATTTTTAGTATAGAGTTTATATAGATGTTTCTCCATATGTAATTCCTTGTGGAATCCTGAGAATTTCTGTAGTAATTGGTCGTTGCTTAACAATTACCATTTAAATTGATAATGCCATTCAGTCAAAAGCAAAATAAAAATCACATTGAAGCTAACTGAAGGCCAGTAAGCGTGAAAAGGGCATTTTAAATCACAGACAGAAAATGATACCATGAACAAAACAAAACACTTACCTAAATTAATGTCACCTGCTTTTGTCCTCAGGTGATTCCTACTCTAGTGGTACACTTGTAAGCACTCGTGTCACTCTCAATGAAGAACTTATTTGATGCCTAATATGAAAATATTGACAAAGTTAACTTATTTACTCTACTTATTTCTGTGGTTCCTCCCTCAGTGCCATTAAATAGTCTCAGGATCATATTTATTTTTGAACTCCTAATCCCCCTGAATGAATTAAATATTTGAAAGACAGTAGAATATTTATCTTGAAAGATTATGATAATTTTCCCCTCTTTCTCCTCCTCCTCCAAAGGGGAAGAGAAGTTTGGGATGAGATAAGCAAAGACATACAATCACCAGATGACTAAATGAATGTTGGTACTATTAGTGGGAATTTTGCCTGTAGGTACAGAATCAGGCTTTTCTCAAAGCAGGTCAAGAAAATTCTAAGATAATAAATAAATACCTGCTTATTTTTCCCTGTGTACACCCCTTCCAGTAACTCCCTTAAGCTTAAGAACAGGCATACCTATTACATCTTAGACTAAAGAGGATTCATTCATTCATTTATTTAATCATTTATGCAACAAATGTTTACTGAGTTCCTACTGTGTGCCAGTCACATTTTAGGCCTTGGGAACATGTTGATGAATAAGATAGATAACTCCTGCCCTTAAGTTGCTTACTTTCTAATTCAAGTAAGGAATGTTCCACTCAGCATGTGCTTAATTAAGCACACTAATAGCTTACTGGTGTATTTTGGAGTTTGAATAGCTACTCATCCACACTGGAGAATTGGCTATTCTCTTCCTGCCCTGATTACTTCCCAGCCGTAGACTCTTTCCAGGTGTCTCCAAAGGAAAACAACTGCCCTGAGGATTAAGGTTTGCCAACTTTCTTGGCTTTATGAACCCTATTTCCTACCCAAATCCTGAAAAACTTAAGAGAGGTGGTGGCTTACAAAAATACAGCTATGATGAAATGCTATTTTGGAAAATTCTATTCCAGAAGTTGCTTATCTGTACATAATTTATTTGCTAATTCCTGCCTTTTTTAGGAGGTGCCTGCTGCAAGTATTTTTCTAGTTTGATTACTCCCATAGAAAGATAATTTTATACTCCCATATTTATCATGTGCTTTGGTGAACAAGCTAGCCCTACTTGTGTTGATAGCTACAAAACTATAGCAGCTAGTTCTACATATCTATTAGTAAGTGTAACAGCTGAGGACCTTTCAGATTGTATGGTAGCATCATCACAAATATTCTATATTAGAGGGAAAAGGATTTAACAAAAACAACCTCATGGTTTGAAGATAAGGCTATGATTATCTTAAAACTGTATAGATATCTAAAAATTTCAATTATATCTTTTTGGTATTTTTTTATTTCAGAAAAAAAGCTGTTTTATGTCGGAAAAGACAGAAAACAAAATCGTTTGGTAATTGTTTCAGAAGAAGAAAAAAAGAAAGTTCTAAGAGAATGCCATGAAAATGACACTGGAGCCCATCATGGCATATCCAGAACCCTTACTCTAGTGGAATCCAGCTACTATTGGACTTCTGTGACCAATGATGTCAAACAGTGGGTATGGCTTATGTATTTAGAATATTTTGAATAATGTCTTTGTAGTATATATCCAAAATTCATGTTTGCTCCAGATTAACTCTAGATATCACTTCTCATTAAGTACTTTTTGTCTGGGTAGTTTTTCTGCAAAACATTTAAAGGGAGTTTTATTTCCCTTCAAAAATCTTCTTTAGAATCACTAAAATATAATTTGAACTAGAACAAAGCATTATTTAAATATTTGAAAATACTCTGTTTAGATAGATTATCTAGAACCAGATTTTCATCATTGAACTATCTTGTGTAGGCAGAATTTAAATGGGGCTGAAATTTCTTTGACCAAAAATTAATCATTACCTCTTTGATGGCAGTCATACAATCTTTTCTTGAGAGGAGAATATGTTCATTATAAGTCAGGCCCCATGTGTGTCTCCTCTTTTGTCCCTATATTGTCTTGACATAGAAAGTGTCAAATATGGCAGAAACACCAAACCAACTAATTGCAAAATCAAGTTGTGAAGATAATGAAATTAGTCTGAGTTTTGTAACTTTATAACCCATTAGGACCTCAACTTCTTCTAATAGAAAATTCACCTAGGAGTTCTGGGATTCTTGCTGCTAGGTCAGTTGATCCCTACTCTTTCTAGGGTGCTCCATATAGCAAATGATAGAAATTCCTTAGTATGTATGTGAGAACCCTTTAATAATCGTAATAGTGCATTAAAAAGACTCATTTCAGGCATGAAGAATTAACCCAACATTTAATTTAACTAAGTATCATTTGTGAGTCTGTGCAGGTATTCCAAAGACCTCAGTTTTTGTATTTGCCTTTAGAACCTGCCACACATTCCTTTACAGACATTCAATGAAATCTTTGTCACATCTTTATCATTTGAAAAATGATTTTGGGAAATAAGGTTATTTGTGATGAGAATTAGTTTAAGTTAGAAAAGCTAGAAAATAAAAATTTTGATCAAAAGTAACTATAATGCAAAAAGATTGGTTTAAAAACTTTGTTCAGGACTTGGTTTGAAAGTAGTTTCCAAAGTGTAATTCCAGAAATATGTTGAACAACGGCACCATCCATATGTTGATCAATTGATCTCATCTCACACAAATGAAAGCTCCATGACAGCATGGGCTTTGTTTTTGTTCATTCTCTTTTTCCAGGACCTAGCGGAATTTCTGGCATCTATAAATATTGTTTGAATAAAGTTATATTTTAATGAATATTATTGCATACATGAATGAATGAACTTAGTAGAGTGATAACTTTAAAAGAAAAAATTTTTTGCTTATAGAAATTATATACTCACATATTGATTTAAAATTATAGCAAAACATGTTTTAAGATCTATTCATTTAATAAATATTTATTGATTGTAAACCAGAATTATGTTCCATGTGAATAAAAACCCTTAAGGCAGTCATTGAATAGTAGTAGCAAGTAATATTTGCTTATATTCTGAATAGGTTTTATTTTATTATGAGAATAGTCCAAAAGTTTCTCCTTCAAAACACAAAGTACCTGTCAACCATTTCAAAGTTCAGATTTATAAGACTGCTTTTATTATATTGAATATATTAACATTTGTATACCTTTTCTTTATTGTATGCCTGTTTTATAGGTATATGCTTGTCAGCATTGCCAAGTGGCAAAAAATACGGTTATTCTAGCACCTAAACAGCACCTTCTCAAAGTGGAGAATCCATGGAGTATAGTTACTGTTGATCTGATGGGCCCTTTTCATACAAGCAGCAGAAGTCATGTATATGCTATAATCATGACAGATTTGTTCACAAAATGGGTTGTGATTTTGCCTCTTTGTGATGTTTCAGCATCAGAAATTTCTAAAGCTATTATCAATATATTTTTCTTATATGGACCTCCTCAGAAAATAATAATGGACCAAAGAGATGAGTTCATTCATCAGGTAAGACAAACTACTTAGATCTAGGAGCATATTTTACTCACCTTTCAGTGAGCAGCGCAACTTATATGGTACTTAATAAGTTTAGATAAATTCCTACAGATATAGAGGTTTAATATTGTATAGTACAAAGGTAGTTGGACTGGAAATTAAGGATTTTAATAGTTACTGTGCCACTAAGTAATTGTAAACCTGTCTTTCGTTTTCTTCAAACTAAAATGAGGAGGTTGGACCAAAGAGTCTTTTTTTGCTTCTAGCTTAAAAATTCTGTGGTTGATACGTAGAGGGAGAATTGACTAAATGGAGAAATACAGTCATGCTCGTGAATGAGAATATTCAATATTGAAAGATACCAATTTTTCCCAAATCAAAATTAATTTATATGTTAATGTATTTCTAATCAGCATTAAAAAGGAGGGAGCATTTTCCCTTGCCCTGGCCTTTATCCGGATTAAAGTTAACCTGAAAGAATAAGCGGACAGGAATACATACAAAAATTCTAAAAACGGAATATAACTACTATACTTAAGGCATATTATTAAATTTTTATAATTGACAGGGTACTGGTGTAAGAAAATAACCAGACTGTCTAGGTTCACGGCACCTTTGATATCTCAGTCCAAAAGAAATACCTAAAATGATACTTATCAAATAGTTAGAGCTTGTGCCACGGGGTCCCTAAGGTTATCTCCAAGTTTTATAATTCACTAGAAGGACTCAGCAGATGGTCATACTACGGCTAAGATTTATTATAACTAAAGGATGCAAAGCAAAATCAGCAGACAAAAGGCTCATGGGTATAAGTCCAGGGGAAACTAGGAACAAGCTTCTAAGACATCCTCTCCCAGTGTAATCACACAGGACATGCTCAGTTCTCCCTGCAGAGTTATAGCAACCCATGTAAATTGTTGTCTACCAGGGAGGCTCACTAGAGACTCAGTGCCTAGGATTTTTACTGGGAGCTGATCACATAAGCACCAAAAATTATAGATTCTCAAAAGAAAGAAGGTGTTCAGCATTAGCCACCTTGATGTATAAACAGTTTAGGCACTGTGAGCCACCCTTAATCAGTTAGGGAATGGTGGAAACCCACACAAAATCCAAGGTCCTAGACACCAGCCAAGGGCCAACTTTGTAAGCAGGACTTTCACAGGATAGCAGCCTTAGTTCTGCTATGTTAACTTTTTCTGCACAGGTCCAAACAACTTAGTATTTATATCCTAACCACTTAGCCATTTAAAAAAATAGTAGTCATAAATTGAAAGAAATAATATTTTCATTTCATTCTTTTCATTTCATTTCATTTCATTTTCATTTCATTTTCATTTCATTCTTAAATAACCACAGTTAGTTACTAATGGGATGTGTATACCTGTTTACCACTGCTAAGCTTTTCAAACTTTGGAATCAGTTTGGACACTGCCATCCTCATTTCCTGTTTTGCATTGATTTTTAACAGTCATTGCTTTTTATCATAGCACCTGTCAAAAAACAGTTCTGTAAAGATACAACATCATCAAAAGGAATGTAGTCTGATCTAATGTTGAAACCATAAACTACATTAAGCTAGTAGTTTTCAAGGTGTCCAACAGATGTTAAGGAGGCCCTTTGGCACAGAGTTTAGTAACCATGTTTAAAATGATAGAGCTGGTATCATAAATGAGTGGAGTTAGGGAAGGATTATTTAATAAATTTAATTTAACAGCATAGATAACAATTTTCTAATTATTTCTAGTTATTTCTATAATATGATTTTAGAATTACTGCATACCAAAATTGTTTTCAGGTAAATTAAAAATTTTGGTTTTTTTAATTGAAACAAAAAAATACAGTTGACTTTTTTTTTTTCAATCTCTAGAGACTGAGTTAACTTTCCAAGCTTAGGGAATAGTGGCATAAATTTAAATGGAAAAATCACCAACTTTGGCTGTTTAAAAATTAGAAATTTATATGTGGTAAAATCACCAAAACATACAGGCCAAGAAATAGACCAACAAAAATAAAGCACATTCATGCAGGAAAGGGCTAATGCCTTTATTATAAAAGATTCAAACAAATTAAAAAATTTAGTCAATGGCAGAAATGTAATTCACAAGAGGGAATAAAAATAATAAATATGGAAAAATGTTCAAACCCAATAGTAATGAGTAATGTAAATTAAGACCATTTTTTGTTTATCTAAATCAAGAAAAATAGTAGTAATACCAAAAATACCAAATAGACTACAGATAAAATAATATAGCCTTACATTACAGGTAGTATAGCAACTTGAAACTAACTCTTGTAAAGCAGTCTGCCAAAGGTCCAGTAAGAGCCGTGTGTGTGTGTGTGTGTGTGTGTGTGTATATATATATATATATATATATATATATATCTTGGTGAACGATCCTATTTCTAAGAATTCTAAGGCGATTATCCAAAGTATAGAAAAATAGCTCTTTTATGATATTATTTACCACAATGCTATGTATATTAACGAGAAACAGGAAATGACCTAAACATCCAAATAAATAGTTTCAGAAAAACGTCAAGCCACATGATGAAATATTTTGTAGTCATTAAAAATGTTTACAAAGAAAAGGAAATAACATGGACACTGATTAAAACATGTTCAGTTAAAACTCTGGGTAAAAGATTTTATTACATATATTATGTATACATATTTTACACATAACTATGTAAAAAATAGATGTAAAGAAACTAAAATAAAAATTTATATGGTTAACCATGGAGTTTTTAAGAGTAATGAGATTATAGGTTTTTTCCCTTAACTTTTCAGTTTATGTTATCATTATGTTGTTTTTATAACTATTAGTGATTAAAATATACATAATCATCTGTTGTTTTGTGATATAAATTACTAGTGCTTGGCAATAACTAGTTCTCCTAGCCTTCCAAACATAGACGACTGTCCTAGCCTCTTTCAGGTGGGCAAACCCAAGTAACACATCTGGGCAAAGAAGTTGAATGGATGAATGTGTGCCCCTTTCAGCCTGAGGTATTGAAAACTTCATCCTCAATTCTTCCTTCTCCCAGTCTTATTCTGTCTCTGGAGAATTAATTGCATATTTCAGATATTACCCTAAAGGGTAGTGGATTTTCTCTCATCCAGGATTTCTGAGGCACCCAGGTGCTTCGGAGAGACACCCTGACCTACAGCTGACCTTGTCTGAGCAAGTAGTAAAATTTTTGAGTTAAACCACTGAGCCTTGAATGTGTTTTGTAACTGCAGTATAATATTGCCTACCTTGACTGACATAGCAGTGGTCTGCAAAATGGGGTGTGCAAGACAATCTAGTTTGTAGGATGACAATATTAGAACTTTTGTTTATAATTTTTATCTAATAAATAAGAAAGAAATGAAGCTTTTACTAATAATATATAGAGATTCATAATAGCATCCTGAATCAACAAAGCAGATGATCGTGTGTCGCACCTGGTTCAGGAAGGTATCTTGGGAGAAAAGTGAGAATCTGCAACATGTGGGAGTCCATAGTGGTTCCCTCACTCATTCTTTTGCTTTAGCAGCAGTAATTAAATTTATGGATATTGTCCAGTTTTTGCCAAACTACCCTTCATAGAATAACTAGTTGGCTTAATTTTCTTGCAGTGAAACAAGATCATACGAATAATAATGCAATCACCTTTCAACCACAGGAAAATGATAGAGCTGACACAAGTAACTTCTAGTACTAGCTCTTTCACAGATACATTAATGATATAAAAATAAATGTGGACTAATCGGATCTGATAGGAAATTGGCCACCAAAATTCAAAATTATCAAGAAATCTATTTGAAATATTGTCTTACTTTCACCTTTATTAATGAAAAGCCTCATCCTAAATGCACATAGTACTTCAAGATACTAGGTAATGACAATATGAAACCATTATGAATCACCAGCAGTCTTTCCAGTCATGTTTAAAGTCATATGATATATACATTATTGGTACTATGTATAAAATAGACAACTGATGGGAACATACTGTGTAGCACAGGGAACTCTACCTAATGCACTGTGATAACCTATATGGGAGGGAAGTCCTAGAGAGGGGATATCTGTATGTGTATGGCTGATTCATTTTGTTGTGCAGTGGAGGCTAACACAACATTGTAAAGCAACCATACTCCAATAAAAATTAATTTTAAAAATTAAAAAATAGTCATATGATAATCCAAGACTTTGAAAATTTTACCAAAAGTAACAATAAATGTTTATAAGCCTCTTTTATGAGGTTTAACAAAAAAACTAAAAATCCCATGTGATTAAGAAAATTTGTTCTTTTTGCTGTGATTTAAATGGCTTAAATATTATACAGCAGGCATAATCGTGACAAAATAAAATGGGTTTTTTTGTCAGCATATACTGACATAGGAAACACTGCTAACGTATTGAAATAAGATTTAGAACATTATACACAATGTGGGAGGTTTATTATAAAGTTGATGAAAGTACAGATGTTTGTAACATAGCTTAGAGCATTTGAGTATTTGCTAAATTGTTTCAATAAAATACACAAAGACCTTTTTATAAACCTGTGAAGAAAAGAGAATTAACATTTGTAAAGGAAAAATTATTTCTTTAATTTTAAAAATGTGTCTTATGGAAAACTAAAATTGTGACCACTAATGGAATGTCTGGTTTGACGGGGAGAAAAAAAGGCTCTTGGGGTAAGGATATCTAGGTAGCATCTCACAAATGGATTCACTGGATCAGTTCTAGGCAACCTCTTCAAGTTGAAGCCTTTTCCAAAAGTCAGTCATTTTTAAAACCATTAATTATGACCTCAGATTGAGGCTGACCCAAATAATACCTATTTTCTGGGATTTCTTTTAGATTACTTTTGATTTAAAAGGAGGTGGCCTAACATATATACAATGGAATATTACTCAGCCATAAAAAGAAACAAAATTGAGTTATTTGTAGTGAGGTGGATGGACCTAGAGTCTCTCATACAGAGTGAAATCAGAAAGAAAAACATACCGTATGCTAACACATATATATGGAATCTAAAAAAAAATAAAATGGTTATGAAGAACCTAGGGAAAGGACAGGAATAATGACACAGATGTAGAGAATGGACTTGAGGTCACGGGGAGGGGGAAGGGTAAGCTGGGACGAAGTGAGAGAGTGGCACAGACTAATATATACTACCAAATGTGAAATAGATAGCTAGTGGGAAGCAGCCACATAGCACAGGGAGAACATCTTGGGGCTTTGTGACCACCTAGAGGGGTGGGATAGGGAGGGTGAGAGGGAGACGCAAGAGGGAGGAGATATGGGGATATATGTATATGTATAGCTGATTCACTTTGTTATAAAGCAGAAACTAACACACCATTGTAAAGCAATTATACTCCAATAAAGATGTTAAAAAAAAAAGACGGCCTTAATTAGTATATATGTTAGGTAGGAATTAGTATATATGTTAGGTAGGAATTGTATTCCACTGCAAGTAACAGAGAACCCTTCTCTTCCCTCCAATATATAAACTCCAATAGGAGTTTATTTTATACTTAGGGAAAAGAAAGCCAGGCTCTCCAGTGTTGGAAGGGTAACTCTGAATGTCATTGGGAACCCATGCTTCTAGCATTCTGTTCCACCATCTTTGAGATGTGACTCTCAATCTTATGCTTACAATATGGCATGCCACAAACCTACATTTCTGGCAGAAAGAAGGGGGAGGTTAATGGGCAAAAAAAGCTAGAACTAGCTGAGTCTGCCCAACAACTTTCACTTAAATCTTTTTGGCCAGAACTATATCACTACCCCACTACTATATCAATACTATCTGACTACCCCAACTAAAAATAATAAGAAAAAATAGTTTGAGGTGTAAATAAGGTAGGAAAAATAAGTTAACAGGCTTATTCTTAGAAGTTTTCTAAACTCATTTTGACTTATTAGGCCCTGCCTATAATAAATATAACAACAAAAATAATAGTAACATTAAGGGTTATAAAGTGCTTACTAATTGCCAAGCACTGTTTTAAGTGCCTTATAAACATTTATTCGTTTAATCCTCAGGAGAGTCGTGGGTAGGATTTTCCTCATTTTACAGATGAAGAAACTGAGTACACAGAGGTTTGGTGATTTGGCCAAGGTCATGTAGCTGTCAAGTGGATTATGTTAACTGTGTTTGAGAAACTGTCTACTGAATTAAAATGTTATCTGAACTCAGAGTTAGTGTTAAATTTTGTTCTTCCATTTCCTTGCTGTATGTGTGTGTCTGGCAAGGCACTTAACCTCCCAGAGCTTCAGCTTCTTATCTTTAAAATGGGGTTAATATCTCATAAGGTTTTTGTCACGTATAATGACTGTAATGTAAAGCATCAGCACATAGTAAGGACTCAATAAATGGTAGTTACTCTTTTAAACAAAATATGTATGTTTTCATAAAGACTGGCTATGGTCAAGGAAAAGGCAAGATTCAAATTCTTTTGCAACCTTTCAATCCAGGGAAAAATAAAATACAGATTTTAAAATCAGCTTTGTTTTTTATATGTTTTTCAGATCAATGTAGAACTGTGTGAATTGTTTGGTACAAAGCAAATTGTAATTTCTCATGCCTCCCAAACTATTAATCCAACTGTAAGAACACCTAACACAATCAAAACATTTCTTTCCAAACACTGTGCTGACTACCCAAACAACTGGGATGATCACCTAGCAGCTGTTTCGTTTGCCTTCAATGTTACTCACTCGGTAGGTACCTTTTTATAATCTATACTTGTGAATTATGACTATTTCTTGGCTACATAAATGTTTTATTACAAATTATTTATTTTTCTTAATAGGAACCTACTAAAAATACACCGTATTTTCAGATGTTTAATAGAAATCTTTACATGCCTGAGACTTCAGATATTCTTCGTGAAGTGGATGGTAATAATACAAGTATGTTTGCCAGAATTCTAGGTGCAATTAAAGAAGCTGATAAAATAATGGAGAATAAGACAACTTCAGCGGGCCAGGTGATTCTATCTAATAGAAGAAACTCTATAATCTAAAAATCTATAAAGTGATTTTTTTTAATTTCAGCATACACTCACATACCTATGATATACCCTAAAACCAAATTTTTTCCATTGAATTCTGCATGTTTTGATTAAACAGTATGTTTATTAGCTATGAAATTCTGAGAGACATTACTAGGAAAACTATGTGTTTTGGAATCAAGGTAGAGCTGAATTCAAATCCCTGGTTTTGCTTTCTAGTTGTTTAACTTGGGCATATTACTTTATCTCATATTACTTTATTTTCTTTATAAAGTTGAGGTAATAATACTGACTTTGAAATATTGTTTTAAAAAATTAAGTGGGATTCTTGCCTAGCTTTCAGTAGCATCTCAATAAGTAATCTTTTTATTATAATATTATCTGTATATACCTTCAAGAAACTCTAGCTCTTTCATCCCTTTGTTCTTTTTTTTGTTTTTACACTTGCAGATGGAGAACAACAGTTTTGATGAACTAAATAAAAGCAAAATCATTGTTAAAAAGAAACCAAAGCAATTAAATCCATTTCAACTAAAAGTGGGTCATGAAGTTTTAAGACAAAGGAAAAACTGGTGGAAGGATGGTCGTTTCCAATCTGAATGGGTTGGTCCTTGTGTCATAGACTATATTACAGAAAATGGATGTGCTGTTCTGAGAGACAACACTGGGACAAGACTTAAAAGACCCATCAAAATGTCCCACCTTAAGCCCTATGTAAGAGAATCCAGTGAACAAGGTAAATATCTGTCACTTCTCTACATTTTTACTTTCTTTGAATGAAGAGAGAAGTTAAAAATATAAGAAATCTCCCCCGCCCCACACCCTCCTTTGGTTAGTTTTTCTTTTCCCTTCTCATTTTTATAAAATTTTGTACAGTATTGGAGCCCAGGTAGTCTTTTTTATAAGCATGTGTCTTCTGGAACTGTCAGGTTTGTAAGAGATTTTATCTTGATTTCTAGTGTACTTTTCACACACTTTCCCACAGTTCATGTGGGAGACACTGAACATGTTTCACAGAAGGAAGAATTATATCTTCATTATTTTCACTTTCAGAATATTTTGTCACTTTTAGCATGAAATGATAGTAACTAAGGTAAATAATGCCAAAAACAAACATACTGTCTAGAATTCTGTTGTGAGATAAATATATTAGGGGACATTTAAAAATGTGATTAATTTTTAATGTTGCATCTTAGTCACAGTCATGGTGGATGTAGGGGAGGGTGAGAGTGGGAGATACTCAGAATGCTATAAAGTGCCATTATAAGAAGAGGTAAGTAGCACACTGGACAAGGTAATACTTGCCTCAAAATGTGATTATGAATAGTCAAGATATCCTGATCTTCTCTAACCCTTTCTTTCATAGACTGGAGCTAAATGACATGGCTTTCAGATTAAGTCCCACTTTATGTCCTATTTTATGTGCTCCTTAGAGTTTCTTTGGAGTGGATAACTTAGAGGGAGTGAATTGGTACCTTAGCTAGTTAATTTTGTTTATTCTATAAAGAAAGATAAAGCATCAATATTATTTGAATCTGAGTAGCAGTTAAGGAAGATACAATTTAGTACAATTTTAAACAATATAAACAACTGAGGTATTTAACAGGCTTAAGTAAATAATAATTACAAAAATGATGATAATAGATAACCCTCTTTCTTAGGATATGAAGCCCTTGGGGCTGCTTTGTAATAGCTCAACTCTGTTTCTGATCTGGGTCACAACTCTCATGTTGAAAGCTCTGAGTACCTTCCTTTCTGCTTATGGCAGAACCAGTTGCTCTAGTAGTAAACTTAGCTTGGACTGTTCCAATTCAGAAAGCTCACAGTACCTTCATTCTCGTTGTTAGAAGATAAGCACTTTTATTCCTTGTGCCTCCTCTTAGTTCTAAGCTGCCCTTTATGATTTCTCCCTTCCGCAAGTTAAGTAGGAACAAAAGATTATACAGGTGCATGTTGTCCTTTCTTCTTCTTTTGATTTTCCCCTTAATCTTTGTTGTTCAGGACTTGCTTCCTTCTAATGTGTTAACCTTCCTTAATTAATACAAAATTTCTGCTTAACATGTTGCTGTATCAGGATCTGTTTCAACATTTTGCAGTTTGCTCTTGCCGAAGAATTTCTTAAGGAGACCTAACATTTTGCTACTGCTGAATATTTCAGAATCCAATTGAATAGAACAATTTCTAAACAGAGGCAGTACAATTATTGCCTCATGCTTGAATTCTCTGCAGATTATTCTTCCAGTAATACAAAGGAAATTGCAGTATTAACTAGTGTATACATATAAGGAACCTGAGATTAATGGGTAAAGTTGTTTTTTCTTATTAATCAAAGGAAGTACTAATCCAGCTATCCTAGAGTCTGGTTCTTGTTTACTCTTTGGTCCGTTTTTGTCTGTTTCTCTTATTTGTAGAAAATTCAAAATAAATGTGATTTCTATCACATATTTTCCTGAAAATCTTCACCTCAAAAGCTGATTTTAAAGAGTCTTTGAACTGAATTTAAACCAAACAAAATGTCTTTGAATAGTCATCCCATTCTTTTGACATAAATTTGAACAAGGTAGAGCCAAAAGAACTATGAATTTGTCTGCATTGTTTCTCTTACCAGCATTGAGATTTCATAGCTGTATTTAAGTTCACTGTACAAAGCAGATATGCTTCCGTTGTGAACTTATCCATTCTTATCTAGAACATAATGTTGAGGGAGCACATTCAGTACTAGGTTGACATTGCTATTTTAAGTAGGCCTATTTGCCTTTTTGTCTAGTTCAGTGCCAGGCACCTTTTCAAGACTAAGTATTTTAACAAGAAATTTTTTGACATACCATAGTGTCTCTTCATAATTGTAATGTTTCCCTTTGAAAGGAAAAATGTTATTGACCCATTATTCTATCTGACATAGATTTTGAGTAGTTTTGTTTTGAGTGGGAATTATTGTGATCAGTTTGTGTCTGCCTCCCCTAAAGGCTTTGGTGTGATTGCCCTTCACAATTTGTGAAATGGTTTTTATTCTTTTATAAGTTTCCTATTGCTGCCATGACAATTTACCACAAATTTAGTGGCTTAGAACAACACAAGTTTATTATCTTACAGTTCTATACTTAGAAATCCAATGTAGGTCTCATTGGGCTAAAATTGAGGCATTGGCAGGGCTGTGTTCCTTTCTGGAGGCTCAAGAAGATGGTGTTTCTGTGCATTTTCCACCTTCTAGAGGCTGTTGCCATTGCTTGGCTGTGGTCCTCTTCCTCTATCTTAAAAGCCAGCAGTGGGGGTAGAGTTCTTCTCATATTACATCACTCCATCCTCCTATTCTTCCTTCCCCTTCCACATTTAAGGACTCTTATCCTTGGGCCCATTCTGATAATCCAGGGTAATCTCCCTGTTTCAAGGTTGGTTGGGTAGCAACCATAATTCTATCACTACCCTAATTCTCCTTTGCCATGTAAGGTAACATAATCACAAGTTTCATGAATTAGTACATGGCTATCTTTAGGGGTCCATTATTCTGCCTACCACAGTTATGGTCTACATTCGCAAAACAAAATAAAGCTTAGTCCCTATATTAGTATCAAGCCCATGAGCTTGACTTTATTATTAATACACAGTCATCAGTTGGTATCCACAGGGGATCAGTTCCAGGAGCCCTGTGGATACCAAAATCCACTCATGCTCAGGTCCCTTACATAAAATGGCATAGTACAGTACCCCCAACCTTTATCCCCTACCCCACCCGCACATCCATGGATACGAACCCTGGGATATGGAGAGCCAACTGTAGTTTTAGCAAAGCACCTCCCTTTGGCCTCTAATTATGTAATCTCAAAATTAAAAGTCATTCAGTTCTCTGTGTTAGTATTGGTTATCTGTTATGACAATTATGTGGTATGTATCAAATTGTAGTTATTTGTTATTTTATCATAAGAAAAGATGTACTAGTATGGCAATACATTTGTAATAGTTTTAGGATATCAGGCCATGTATAGGATTAGTCAAGACACCTCACTTCACAATAAGAAAATTAATTATTCTGAAACCTTGTACTTTTCTTTCTATTTGAAAAAATAGATTAATCCAATCACTCAGACTTTTCTGAGGCTTTGGTTTTAACTTATTTTTCTCCCTAGGGAAATTTTAATACTCTTAATCTCATTTTTTTTCTCCTTAAAACTAAATAAGAAAAAGTGTGTCAAAACTGCTGATAACACCTTCCTGAAATGTCTTGAAAATACCTCTGCTTCTAAGAAACTAAAGACTTAAGTATTCAGTCCAGTCAAAACTGAAATAATGCTTTCATCAAACATGTCATAATAGTAACTAAATAAATAGAATGAGAAAATTAAAATAATTAAATTCTATCGTGTAATGTGACTGAGTAGAAAAGTCCTTTAATATGGTTTTGTTTGTTTATTTCTCTGTCTTTTTATCTTGGGTGCAAAAACTTATCTTGTTCTTTTCTATATCCCTAACTCAGGACTGTTCTAGATCAGTACTGTCCAATGGATATGTAATGCAAAAACTATGTAATATATAATTTAAAATTTTCTAGTAGCCATGTTTAAAAAGTAGGTGAAAAAAATTTTAATAATATATTTTATAGTTACCCAATATATCTAAGATAGCATTATTTATTATCTATCTAAGATAGATTATTTCAACATGTATGTAAGGCCTCAAAAATCTCTTTCTGGTAAGTCTTTGGTAATCTTTTTCAAAGTTAAAGAGCATTTCTCTTGGGTCCACTAGATTTAGAACACAGTAGGAATTGAAACATATTTGACCTTTATGAATGAATGAGAATTTTGTTTTTTCCTACACAAAGGCTTGAAATCTCCAGAGTAGTTTTCAATTGCATATAGAGTGATTTGTGTAGAATTTGCTGAGTATAATCTTTATTCTCTACAGTTTTATCACACTAAGTTACTTTAAAGTTTATTTAAAAGAAAGTGTGTGTGTGTGTGTATTTATATTCAGATATATATTGGTTACTTTCATATAGAAGCTGTCCTCTTACAAACAGGTGAGGTTGGTAAAGTCCATTTGTTTCTAAGTCTACTGTAATTAGGAGGTGCTTACGCTCAAGGTCTTTGAATGCATTTGCAGGAAATCAAAGTGATAACTTCTAAGAGCTTTACATCTATCCATAGTTTCCCTGTTGATACATGTTTACTGGACATATTTTACTACAATAGACCAGCTTTCTGTATGCAAAAAAATTTTTGAGACAGAAAACTTCCTTCATCAAAGATCTCTGCAAAGATCCAATTTGGAAATACTTTAAATGCTATATTGTAGCTGCTGTCACTAATACATTGCATCAGTGTACCCTGAACTTATGAAATTCTTCATGGCTTATTAGAAAAATTTCATCAGCAACATTTTTACCATATCTAACCTTTTTAAGTTCTCTTTTAAATTACAACCTATCTTTCTCTAGTATTAACAAGCTAATAGCAGACTTTGATGTTGACGCTCTGGCAACACATTCTAAAAGTGTTTCAATTTCACTGATCATTTTTTCTTCTTTCCTGCTACTCTTGGGCATAGCACTTCTCATGGGTTGCATGATTTTTGTATCTTTCAGACTTGTTCTCTTGTTCAGCAATACATCCCCTACTAACATACAAAAATCATTTTCTTATCACCTTCAATGACCCATACTTTTATTTCCATCATAAGTATGTATATCTTCTTAACAGCATTTTCAATCTAATTACTACTTTTGCATTAATAAGAATTGGTGGGGGTAAACTTAGAAAGCCTCTCAAAACTAAAATACCAACTACACTTTGCCTAATGAAGAAGTAAATGGACAAAACTAAATGTCCATACAAGCCCAAGTCTACTTATGCCATCTGTTGGGAGAGAGCATAGCTTTGATTTTTTTTTTAAATATTCTTTTCTTTAAGTTTATTTATTTGTTTATTTATTTATTTTGGCTGCATTGGGCCTTTGTTGCTGTGTGAGGGCTTTCTTTTAGTTGCAGCGAGCGGGGGCTATGCTGTTGCAGTGCACGGGCTTCTCATTGCGGTGGCTTTTTTTGTTGTGGAGCATGGGCTCTAGGCGCGCGTAGTTGTGGCTCACAGGCTCTAGAGTGCAGGCTCAGTAGTTTTGGCACATGGGCTTAGTTGCTCTGCGGCATGTGGGATGTTCCCGGACCAGGGCTTGAACCCATGTCCCCTGCATTGGCAGGCGGATTCTTAACCACTGCGCCACGAGGGAAGTCCTGTTTGACCTTTTGATGTTTGTAAATTTAAAGTTCATAAATGTGTAACTTATAGGGTTGGAATAGATTGAGTTAGCTTTTCACATATTAGTATGAGGATGGGTAGGCTGGAATCATGTTCTGGGATATATTAGCAAATTTATCTGCTCTGAGAAACTTTCATTGATCTCTAATCTAAATGGATAATTAATGTTCCTTTTGCTATTTGTTGAACTTAAAATTTGAGGATTCTTTAAGGTATTAAAATCTTTAAGAGAATCTGTTAATGTTTTGGGAGAAAATCCAGAAAGAGAAGGCAGGGGTCCAGGAAGTTAATCAGCGGCGGTGGAATAGTTCTTTGTTGTAATGAATTAAAATATTATGTAGGGAGAAATTCTTTTATATAATTAACCTTTATTTATAAAGATGATGCTACTTTGCCATGTGTTTTTCATTTTAAGCATTTTTTTCCTGATAGTGATGATAAATTTGCTCAAAATAGAATGAAATGCTGACAGGGAAGATTCCTCGTCACATTTTAGTATGGATTTAGCTACACCTTAAAAGGTCATGAGCATTTTAATATTAAATTAGGCTTAAGTAAGCTAAGCTTTTTAATCTAATTCGTTGTAGCCTGCCTACTTTCACATTCCTATTATATAAGCCTGATTCTAGGAACTTAATCTTCATTTTAGTTTATCATTTCATATTGTGACAATTTAATATTATTGCCCTAATATGGATTCTGTAAAGACCAGAGAATTATCTAAATTTGTAAATGTAAGGATTTAACAGTTCCATTTGTTAAAACATCTTTCGAGACCCCGTTAGTTCACCCAGAAATGCTTTGCAGAAGTATATTAAGAATATCATCAACATCAAAAATATAGTTTTATAACTTTTGTTTTTAATCTATACCATGATTCTCAGCCCCTCACCCACACCTACCACCCCCTCCACCCACACCTGCCAAACACAGGTCAAGAGAATACTCTGTAATGGCCAAATGGGAAAAGAATCCAAAAAAGAGTGGATATATGTGTATGTATAACAGATTCACTTTGCTGTACACCTGAAACTAACACAACATTGTAAATCAACTATACCCCAATGAAATTTTTTTTAAATCCTGTAAAAAAAAATCCCTTTATTATTCCTTTTTTTTTTAATTGGAAAAAAAAAGTTTGGCTCTTTTAAAATCCTTGATCTTTCCTGAATTCTGTATGTATGCACTGTCAAATTCATATGTCATTTTATTCATTCTTTGACATATTTATTTAGGAGATACGAGAACCCACCAGAAATTAATCTTGATAGTTAATTTGTATTACTTGGAATTTTGTTCCTCATTTAACATTATTTAATTTTAAAGTGATTTAATTATAATTCTAAAAGGCAAACATGTTTCTTCTTTCAGACAGTCTTTATCTCTTACAAGGTTCAGTAGTGGCAGATCATGACTACATTGGAATGCCTGAAATTTCAGTTGGAGCATACCAAGCAAATATTCTGGTAGAAGATGCAACTATTGGAGTAGTCGACAATGAATTACTGACATCAAGCAAGGATCGTGAACTGTTAGAATATAGAAATGCCAAAATGTCTCCCTTGATAGAAGATCATAGTACTCTTGAAAAGCAGACTTTTAGTCTCTTGGACTCTTCAAACCAAGTCCTTGAGTACTTAAGTTAGTGAACACCAAAATTCATTTAAAGTGCTTGTTTAGAAAGTATATCTCCTTGAATCTTATCTTTTCCACTCAAAAAGGTTACTTAGAAAAAGTATCTTGACAACTCTTAATGACTAAGTCCTGAAGATTTATTTTATAACTATTTATTTATCTAAAGTTGTGCCTCATTTGAATGTCAGTGCATATATATATATATATATATACACATATATATGTATATATATAAAGGCAAAGGAGGTATATTACATATATGTCATTTTTTCTTCTAAAAAGAGAACAGGCAAAGCATGCTTGCTTCTTAGGAAGTAAACTAAATTCTAGCTCAAAACTCTCAAAACTTTGTTTGATATTGGTACCATGTTTTCAGTTTTAATTTTTTTTTTAATATTCCCCCCTTTTAAAAAATGTTTGAACTACCTAGAATTGCATTAATAAATATTTATTAAATGTGATAAATGAATCCTATTTCTGTGTTATTGGAACTTCTAAAAACAATATTGTAGGAAAAAATTTAGAGTTGTTTAATGGGCTCCTACAGTGTATTGGTAAGTTCACCTTGTTAGACAGGCTCAGGATTAGGGTCTGAAACTATATATTGGTTTGAAAACATTTGTGCATTTCCATAGTATATATTAAAGTCAGAAGCATCCATTAATAAGATTTTTTCTGCAGCCTTAAAGAAGTAAATAATAATTATAAAATAACTGATATCAAAGATTTTAAACTATAATTTCTATGATAGTTATAACTTTGCTCAACAAATATTTGTTATAAAGCACTTTGAAGAATACTGTGGGAAAAATAAATGCTGTGTGTGCCTTGTCCCCAACAGAGACATACAGTCCAGTAGGGAATATAGATCATATAAGCCATGTACAACAGTAGTTACAAGTTATGTGCTAAGTTCCATAAGAAAAGTGCAAATAATACATTTAGGGAGGAAGAAAAGAAAGAGTTTATTTCTGGATAGGAAAACTAGGCTATTAATGGAAGAAGGATCTTTTGAGCTTGACCCTGAAGAATGAATAGGATTTGGTGAGAGGGTCCAAAAAATTAGAGGAAAACAAATGCACAGAGACAGAAAGTATTGTAATGATTTACAGAAAGGCAGGGCTTTTTGTTGTCTACATTGCCTCCAGTGTAAGGTAAAATGGTAAGGTATGGGGAGATAAAGCTGAAGGGGAAGTAGGAAACCTTGTGGAGGGCTTTGAATACTGTTAGGGGTTGAATTGTGTCCCCCTCCCTCCAAATTCACATGTTGAAGTTCTAAACCCTAGTACCTTAGAATGTGACCTTATTTGGAAAAAAGGTTATTGCAGATATTGATTAGTTAAGATGAGGTCATGTTGAAGTAGAGTGGGGCCTAATCCAGTATGACTGATATCCTTACAAGAGGGGGAAATTTGGTCATAGAGTCAGGGAGAATGCCATGTGAAGATGAAGGCAGAGATCGGAGTGATTCATCCACAAGCCAAGGAATGCCAGAGATTACCAGAAAACCACCAGAAACTAAAGGAGAGGCATGGAATAGACTCTTCCTCAGAGCCCAGAGAAGGAAGCAGCTCTGTCAACACCTTCATTTCAGCTTTGTAGCCTCCAGAACTGTGAGACAGTATCTTTTGTTTAAGTCACCAGGTTTGTGGCACTTTGTTACAGCAGCCCTAGCAAAGTAATATAAATACATAGTTAAATTATTTTTTATTTTCTGAGACCCATTGAAGGTCTTTGTATAGGGAAGGGTCATCAGGACTATGATTTAGGAAGCTTAATCTAGCAACTAGTAAAGAACTGATTAGAGGAGGAGAGAAGCAAAGCATGGAGGATTAGTTGTTATGACTTTGAAGTGATGATGAATAATAGGAACCTGAACTATTCTAGTAGCATTAGTAATAAATGGAGCATATCTCAAGATCTACAGAATATCTCATATTTTTTGCATCAACCATACTGAACAGTGATATTGAAAATGGAAACCTGAGGTGAGGTATTACAGTTACTCATTTAAGAAAGGTTAAATTATGTTTAATATAGGCTAAAGTAAAAGTGATTGGAGGAAAGAAATCAAGGACTCCATATTATACCACAGACCAAATGAATTCCAAGTAGAATTCCAGAAACCTTTAGAAAACAGAAGCTGAACCAAGATGGCAGAGTAGAAGAACGTGCTTTCACTCCCCTTGTGAGAACACCAGAATCACAGCTAGCTGCTGGACAGTCATCGACAGGAAGACACTGGAACTCAAGAAAAAGATACCCCACATCCAGAGACAAAAGAGAAGCCACAATGAGACAGTAGGATGGGGCGCAATCACAGCAAAATCAAATCCCATAACTGCTGGGTGGGTGACTCACAGACTGGAGAACACTTCTACCACAGAAGTCCACCCACTAGAGTGAAGGCTCTGAGCCCTACGTCAGGCTTCCCAACCTGGGGGTACAGCAACGGGAGGAAGAATTCCGAGAAAATCGGACTTTGAAGGCTAGTGGGATTTGATTGCAGGACTTTGACAGGACAGGGGGAAACAGAGACTCCACCTTAGAGGGCACACACAAAGTAGTGTGCACATAGGGACCCAGGGGAAGGAGCAGTGACCCCAGGGGAGACTGAACCAGAACTACCTGCTACTGTTGGAGGGTCTCCTGCAAAGGCAGGCGGTGGCTGTGGCTCACTGTGGGGACAAGGACACTGGCAGCAGAAGTTCTGGGAAGTACTCCTTGGCGTGAGCACTCCCAGAGTCTGCCATTAGCCCCACCAAAGAGCCCAGGTAGGCTCCAGTGTTGGGTTGCCTCAGGCCAAACAACCAACAAACAGGGAGGGAACCCAGCCCCACCCATCAGCAGTCAAGCGGATTAAAGTTTTACTGAGCTCTGCCCACCAGAGCAACAGCCAGCTCTACCCACCACCAGTCCCTCCAATCAGGAAACCTGCACAAGCCTCTTAGACAGCCTCATCCACCAGAGGACAGACAGCAGAAGCAAAAAGAACTACAATCCTGAAGCCTCTGGAACAAAAACCACATTCACAGATAGACAAGATGAAAAGGCAGAGGGTTATGTACCAGATGAAGGAACAAGATAAAACCCCAGAAAAACAAGTGAATGAAGTGGAGATAGGCAACCTTCCTGAAAAAGAATTCAGAATAATGATAGTGAAGATGATCCAGGACCTCAGAAAAAGAATGGAGGCAAAGATAGAGAAGATGCAAGAAATGTTTAACAAAGAAGAAGTAAAGAACAAACAAACAGAGATGAACAATACAATAACTGAAATGAAAACTACACTAGAAAAAAATCAATAGCAGAATAACTGAGGCAGAAGAACAGATAAGTGACCTGGAAGACAGAACGGTGGAATTCACTGCTGCAGAACAGAATAAAGAAAAAAGAATGAAAAGAAATGAAGACAGCCTAAGAGACCTCTGGGACAACATTAAATACAACAACATTCACATTATAGGGGTCCCAGAAGGAGAAGAGAGAGAGAAAGGACTTGAGAAAATATTTGAAGAGATTATAGTCAAAAACTTCCCTAACATGGGAAAGGAAACAGCCACCCAAGTCCAGGAAGCGCAGTGAGACCCATACAGGATAAACCCAAGAAGAAACACACCGAGACACATAGTAATCAAATTGGCAAAAATTAAAGACAAAGAAAAATTATTGAAAGCAGCAAGGGAAAAGCAACAAATAACATACAAGGCAACTCCCATAAGGTTAACAGCTGATTTCTCAGCAGAAACTCTACAAGCCAGAAGGCAGTGGCATGATATACTTAAAGTGATGAAAGGGAAGAACCTACAACCAAGATTACTCTACCCGGCAAGGATCTCATTCAGACTTGATGGAGAAATCAAAAGCTTTACAGACAAGCAAAAGCTAAGAGAATTCAGCACCACCAAACCAGCTTTACAACAAATGCTAAAGGAACTTCTCTAAGTGGGAAACACAAGAGAAGAAAAGGACCTACAAAAACAAATCAAAAACAATTAAGAAAATGGTCATAGGAACATACATATCGATAATTACCTTAAACGTGAATGGATTAAATGCCCCAACCAAAAGACACAGGCTGCCTGAATGGATACAAAAACATGACCCATCTATATACTACAAGAGACCCACTTCAGACCTAGGGACACATACAGACTGAAAAGTGAAGGGCTGGAAAAAGATATTCCATGCAAATGGAAATCAAAAGAAAGCTGGAGTAGCAATACTCATATCAGATAAAATAGACTTTAAAATAATGTTACAAGAGACAAGGAAGGACACTACATAATGATCAAGGGGTCAATCCAAGAAGAAGATATAACAATTATAAATATATATGCACCTACCATAGGAGCACCTCAATACATAAGGCAACTGCAAACAGCTGTAAAAGAGGAAATGGACAGTAACACAATAGCAGTGGGGGATTTAAACACCTCACTTACACCAATGGACAGATCATCCAAAATGAAAATAATAAGGAAACAGAAGCTTTAAATGACACAATAGACCAGATAGATTTAATTGATACTTATAGGACATTCCATCTAAAAACAGCAGACTACACTTTCTTCTCAAGTGCACACAGAACATTCTCCAGGATAGATCACTTCTTGGGTCACAAATCAAGCCTCAGTAAACTTAAGAAAACTGAAATCATATCAAGCATCTTTTTTGACCACAACGCTATAAGATTAGAAATGAATTACAGGGGAAAAACCGTAAAAAACACAAACACATGGAGGCTAAACACTACGTTACTAAATAACCAAGAGATCACTGAAGAAATCAAAGAGGAAATCAGAAAATACCTAGAGACAAATGACAATGAAAACACGACAATCCAAAACGTATGGGATGCAGCAAAAGCAGTTCTAAGAGGGAAGTTTATAGCTATACAAGCCTACCTCAAGAAACAAGAAAAATCTCTAGTAAACAATCTAACCTTACACCTAAGGAACTAGAGAAAGAAGAACAAACAAAACCCAAAGTTAGCAGAAGGAAAGAAATCATAAAGATCAGAGCAGAAATAAATGAAATAGAAACAAAGAAAACAATAGCAAAGATCAATAAAACTAAAAGCTAGTTCTTTGAGAAGATAAACAAAATTGATAAACCATTAGCCAGACTCATCAATAAAAAGAGGAAGAGGACTCAAATCAATAAAATTAGAAATGAAAAAGGAGAAGTTACAACACCACAGAAATACAAAGCATCCTACGAGACTACTAAAAGCAACTCTATGACAATAAAGTGGACAACCTGGAAGAAATGGACAAATTCTTAGAAAGGTATAACTTTCCAAGACTGAACCAGGAAGAAATAGAAAATATGAACAGACCAATCACAAGTAATGAAATTGACACTGTGATTAAAAATCTTCCAACAAACAAAAGTCCAGGACCAAATGGCTTCACAGGTGAATCCTGTCAAACATTTAGAGAGGAGCTAACACCCATC